AGCACTCTCCGGCAACAGCAATGCGGCTTCACTCCGTGAAAGAAGCAGTCGATTCAAAGCACCGCACCACTCACCCCACGTCGCTCCGGATCCCCGAAACCGGGTTTCCCCGCGAGTAGGGGGGGGCGCAAAGGTGCCAGCCGAATCCCACGTCCACAGGCTTCTCCCGCCTGTGGTTTTTGATGGGTCTCCGCCTCGCCGTGGCGGTTCAGACCCTGTTTTCCACGGAGCGGATTCCTCCCGATCGGAGGAAATCCGCCATTGCCAGAGGCGCCAACCCGGAAGTCCTCAAATATGGAAGTTATCAGGCACTTCTTATCAGGGCTGCTTGTATGCTGTCATATCCTTCTACGTGGTGTTCTCTAAAATGTTCCTAGTGCTCTAGGTCAGATATTTAGTTTCACATTATGAAAAGGAACAAGCAGGAACCTTTCCCCTAAACAGTGTCTTGGTACCTGCTCTCTCAACCCCCCCCCCATCTGATCTATATAGGATTGAATTTAATAGATATTCAAAAAAATTGGTGTTAAAAGTTGAGTTGCACCCTTTCAAACTGTTATCAGATGGTTTTTATAAGAAAATTGAGCCACACAGCAGGTGGAACTTAACTTATTGTTGTACCATGATTATAACTGAACCACTGTCCCAAGTCAATTAAGTACGTGAATATGTATATCAAGATTAAATTATTGGCAGATAAATAATAGATAATAATAGGGGAAAACTGGGAAGGACTGTCCTACAGTTTATTCAAAAGGTCAATCAACTTTCAAATGCAGCCCAACAGAACCCCCTTTCGCAGTGAATATTCTGAATTTAAAACAGAAGCATATCTTAAGAGGAAAAGGTAGGATAATCATGATAATATGCTACCTTCCGAGAGGATCTCATTCCTTTGTGATTTAATCTCTGCTTGCAATTTGTGTATACTCTTAACCTGGTTACGCTACCACCTATGGGAGAGAATGGGGTGCCCGCAACACGCAGAAATGGAAGCCTATTCTGCAAAACCGAACCAACTGCACGGTCTGCACCCAAAACCTCTCGCACTCTGTGACCTACAGTTGCTTTGGGAGGAGTACCCCTCCTCCCTGTGCCTTGGAATGAGCCCTCAGTTACGGCCCCGATTTTGGGTTCCGCTGGATTTTGGGCTGCGTTAAATTTGACAGAAGGAGCCTGTTGCTTTAACATCTCTGACCATGGTGAAGCTATTCGACACCTGGCAGCAGAAATAGAGAAAGTAGCCCATGTTCCTGTCCCAACCTGGAACGGATGGGACATGTCTTGGTTGACTGAGTGGCTTCTGAGCCGTGGGTGGCTTAGAGGACTTTTAATGATGTTAATAGGCCCCTTGCTAATATTGCTTCTTTTCTGCTCCTCTATACCCTGCTTAATGCAATGCTTGCAAAATATGATGCGTAAAATGATGTCACGAATGATTCGGCCCCAGATTATAGCACTGACATGAGAATACCAGCCAGTGCCTTGGGACGAGCCGTAAGGCTGTCCAAAAGAAGAGGAGGGAATGAAGGAATGGGTTTCCCAAACCCAAAACTGACTGTGCAGGCAGTTTGAAACTGCACCAAAATCCCTATTTTTCCTTAGCTAAAATCCATTAACTCGAGCTCTGAGCTCAATGCATAAACAAAAGCCCGGCTGTATAGACAAGTGCTGAGAGCCCTCTCCTTTATCAGTTGTGACAGCAACTATGGCCTTCACTGTACCAGTAGTAGAACAGAACAGAGAGAAGACACGTATGTGCTTTATCTTACGTCCTGGACACACTCTGACACACAAACCCAGGTCCGGGAACAAACGCCAGAGCGTGTTCCTGGAGATTATTACCTCTTCCCCAGAGTAGGAAGAGGAAGATCCTTTTATCGTCAGAAGTAGAGGAAGGAAGATCCTCTTATGGTTGAGAGTACCAGAGCAGGAACATATGTGATGTCAACCTGCATACATAGGCTGACGTGGTTGGAAGGAGGGAGAGGGTATCTGGAAGATATATATACTGCATGAAACTTGTCATTTCTTTGGACTTGCTGTGGACTCACCACGCAAGTGCCTTCTGCTATCCGGAGAGCAGAATAAACTCTTTCTTTGAACCAACTCGGTGTCATTTTGACTTCCTTCCTCCTGTCCCGGAGCAACGCAGACCCAATCGGTGAACTCCAATAAGGCTACAATGGGAAGTCCTGCAACGAAAAGTGCAATGTGCAAATCACTCTCCATTGTTTTTATTGCCTGTGCCATTGGGATTGACCTAGGATTTGACCTGGCAGATTTAGCATGACCAACTTCTTGGTGAGTAGCAGACACAGCCTGTTTAATTATCCTAAAATGTAAGAAAAATGCAATTCATTATTATCAGTATTTCATTCCTATACTGCTTTATGTTTTAAAGAAAAAAATTCATAGCAGTTTGCAACACGTCAAAGCATTAAATAAAACAATCTGGAAATGGGTTTCACATTCACAAGTCAGACCAGGCCCAGAGAATAAAACATCACCATAAGCAGAGAACATGGACTGAGTGCATCTGGTCTTAAAGGAGCCTGAGAGTTTTATTCACTGACTGACTCCTCTTAGATTTCACCCACTTCCTTCCAGATCACAAAAATGGCACATTTAACACCTGTACAAAATTTCAAAAGCAGAATATAAATATATACTCCCTGTTTCATTCTTTTATGCTGCTCTGCCTCTCACAAAACCTGTGTCCTCGGCCCAGGCAAATTCTTGGCAGTCAGGGCATACCAAAACATCAGAGAACATCTCCAGCCATGGATGTTCTCACTGCAAGTTTAAGAAAGTTGGTGGATTAACATTTTTCCTGTGAGGATTTACGTTACTCTTATTGGTGCTGGTAGACTCTTCTGCCTCTTTGTCTGGTTTCCTAACAATTTTGGCATTGGTGCCAAAAAAAATCTGAAATGCCCCCCCCCGTACTGTATTTATTGACAAAGGGATTTTGCAGAATTCTTGGGTGATTAGGGGGAAAAGAGAGAGAGGAGGGTGTATAAACTTTATAGCAGAACAATGTATTTGCTTTGTAGGATTTCCTAAAGCTTTTCACTACGACAGACAGAACTTGGCAGAAGACCAAAGGGTTCCTTCCGATCTCTCAGGGGCTTCCTGAGAGCACAGATGGATGACCGAGGCTCAGCTGGCTCTGGAACAGGAAGAGGCCATGGCAACCAAACTGGGAGCAGTGGGGAATTCTGGGAAAACTCTGTGCAGAAGATCCTGGGTGAGGACGACACCCTCCGCTCAGAGGTGCAGAGCCAGCAGGTGAGGCAGTTCTGCTGCCAGGAGGCCAAAGGACCCCGAGAGGTTTGCAGCCGACTCTACCACCTTGACCATCAGTGGCTGAAGCCAGAAAGGCACACGAAAGCTGAGATGCTGGACCTGGTGATCTTGGAGCAGTTCCTGGCTGTCCTTCCTCCAGAGATGGAGAGCTGGGTGAGGGAGTGTGGAGCAGAGACCAGTTCCCAGGCGGTGGCCCTGGCCGAAGGTTTTCTCCTGAGTCAGGCAGAGGAGAGAAAGCAGGTGAGAGAGACTTTCCTCTGGATACTCCCAAGGGGCTCCAAACAAGACAGAACACATCCCATAATGGTCTGCTGATGGCCCATTCTTTTTCTGCAAGGCATCCATGAAATGAGATCTAACACCCTTCAGGTTTTTGGCCCTGACATTCATTTTATAATCCTTCTCGTCATTCTCTGTTTTGAATCCTTGTTTCTCTTTCAGGGAAAGGGTCTCTTTGCAGAAATGGACCTGGATTCCTGTGAGGCAGAGAGGCCTCCGTTGGACACCAGAGAGAGGCCACTGGGTAAGGAGGAAGGAGTTTTTTCTCCATTTAGTCTCATTCTGTTGGTTTTCCAACTCATCTGCGGGTTCTTTTCATCTTTTGTTGGGAGAGATAGTGGGACCAAGAGCCCAGAGGAGGGGAGATATGTTTTTTCACAACTAACATCTGAAGTGCACCCAAACATTCAAATGCACTCAGCAGACGAGACTTTCTCAAAGGCCCCTGTGTAGTTTAGATGCACTGATTCACCTGTGAGAGAAGCAAGCACTCTGGGCCTCCCCCTAACCTTTTTCCTCTTGCAGGTGACAGAATGATGCCCGCAAGACCTCTTCATCCATCTTTTCTTGGGGACAGAAAGGAAGCAGTGGCTGTGGATCCAGATCAGGTCAGGGGAAGCTGCCTTGTGGGGACAGAGTTCAAGGAGCCGAACAATGTCGTAGATCAGGACGTGGTGGTGAACAATATTATTGTCTCATAGGAGGACATTTCCCTTTTTCTTTTAGGGTCCAGTGTACTTTGAAGATGTTGCTGTTCGTTTCACAGATGAGGAGTGGGAGTTGCTGGATCCTGACCAGAGAGCTCTGCATAAAGATGTCATGGAGGAGAATCATGGGATCGTGGCCACTCTTGGTAAGGATCTCTTTGCAATCAGAATATCTGTTTTTAAATTCAAAACAGCTCTCTGTGATGAACCTCATGTATTTTCACAGAACTCAACAATGCCCCCTTAGGACACCTGGGATTACAATATTGCAGCTTCTAAACAAGGATCAGTCTGGTCTGAACTCCCCAGGCCATTTTAACTGTAAACTTCAGAGTTTTAGGGAAGTTGAAGTAGCTTCTGTCAGGTTTTCACTTTTTGTTTCTCCTCCCGTTAGTCTTTGGTTGTCCAAAGAGAAGACTGACATTGGAAATGGAGGGATGCCATGATGGAGCCAAACAAAATCCATTCGAGAGAAGAGCCAGGCTTGTCGAATCACAGGTTCCCCTAAGGATGTCAGTTGATCCCCGTTAATTAATGCACCCAACCCTTCAGAAAACCATCCATCTAACCCACTTGTGTTATTCCTCTATTACCAGAGTTAACAAGCATTCTTCATTAATTTCTCCCTGAGTCTCTAATCCATTTCTCTTCATTGTAGATGGACTGGAAATCAAGAACAAGGGTGACCATGACAAAATCCACACAATGGAGAAGCTGAATAAATATCTTGAATGTGGGAAAAGTTCCTATTCCACTTCCCATCAAAGAAATCCCATTGGGAAGAAAGCATATCAGTGTGTGGAATGTGGAAAGAGATTCAGTCAGAGCTCCTCTCTCACTTCCCATCAAAGAATTCATACAGGGGAGAAACCCTATCAGTGCTTGGAATGTGGAAAAGTCTTCAGTCAGAGTGCCCATCTCTCTTCCCATCAAAGAATTCATACAGGGGAGAAACCCTATCAGTGCTTGGAATGTGGAAAAGTCTTCAGTCAGAGAGCCCATCTCTCTTCCCATCAAAAAATTCATACAGGGGAGAAACCCTATCAGTGTGTGGAATGTGGAAAGAGCTTTAGTCACAGCAGCAATCTCACTTCCCATCAAAGAATTCATACAGGGGAGAAACCCTATCAGTGTGTGGAATGTGGTAAGAGCTTCACTGAAAGCTCCAAACTCACTTCCCATCAAAGAATTCATACAGGGGAGAAACCCTATCAGTGTGTGGAATGTGGAAAGAGCTTCAGTCTGAAATACAGTCTCACTTCCCATCAAAGAATTCATACAGGGGAGAAACCCTATCAGTGTGTGGAATGTGGAAAAAGCTTCAGTCAGAGCTCCATTCTCACTTTCCATCAAATAATTCATACAGGGGAAAATCCCTATCAGTGTGTGGAATGTGGAAAGAGCTTTAGTCACAGCAGCAGTCTCATTTCCCATCGGAGAATTCATACTGGGGAGAAACCCTATCAGTGTGTGGAATGTGGAAAGAGCTTTAGTCACAGCAGCAATCTCACTTCCCATCAAAGAATTCATACAGGGGAGAAACCCTATCAGTGTGTGGAATGTGGAAAAAGCTTCAGTCAGAGCTCCAGTCTCACTTTCCATCAAAGAATTCATACAGGGGAGAAACCCTATCAGTGTGTGGAATGTGGAAAGAGCTTCAGTCAGAGCGCCAGTCTCACTTCCCATCAAAGAATTCATACAGGGAAGAAACCCTATCGGTGTGTGGAATGTGGAGAGAGTTTCAGTCACAGCCACAGTCTCATTTCCCATCAAAGCATTCATATAGGGGAGAAACCCTATCAGTGTGTGGAATGTGGAAAGAGCTTTAGTCGCAGCAGCAGTCTCACTTCCCATCAGAGAATTCATACAGGGGAGAAACCCTATCAGTGTGGGGAGTGTGGAAAGAGCTTCAGGAAGAGCCGCGATCTCACTTCTCATCGAAGAATTCATACAGGGGAGAAACCCTATCAGTGTGTGGAATGTGGAAAAAGCTTCACTGATAGCTTCAAACTCACTTCCCATAAAAGAATCCATACAAAGGTTGGAAAACCCATTATACAGCTTTAGGAGCCAGTCAAATCCGCACCTTTTTAACCAGGCCTTTGGCTGATTGACATCTAATGCCCTTTTAACATGTGGTGTTTTGTGTTTTTATGTTGTAACATTCCTGAGGCCTGTGGGTCTAGGAATAGGCACTAACTCTTCTGGGTTTACGCCATCGGCAATGGGACTTCCGAGTTTGCGCCATCGGCAATGGCGGATTTCCTCTGAATCAGAGGAATCCGCTCCGTGGGAATCAGGTCTTGCCGCCGCGGCGAAGGCGGGGACCCTTCAAAAATCACAGGCGGGTGAAGCCTGTGAACGTGGGATTCGGCGGGCACTATCAGCGCCCCCCCCTACTCGTGGGGAAACCTGTTTTCGGGGATCCGGAGCGAAGTGGGGTGAGTGGCGCAGTGCTTTGAAGCGACTGCTACTTCCACGGAGTGAAGCCGCACAGCCGTTGCCGGAGAGCACTTTTTCCTGTTGACAATTGGATCTAAAAGTAATTACCCGTGAGTAAAGTGAAGTATTGGAGTTTCAAAAAGTTGAATTTGGCAACGAACGGGGGGAGGTTTAAAACAGGAAGTCTGCCTCCCTTTTTTGTAAATAGTCGGAAGCAAACAGGCTTAAGCTAAAGCCTTGGAAAGTTTATTTTCAACGTTTAAATTACCAGCACTAAAAATAGCAAACCCCCCTTTGGAAGCAGGAGAGGAGGGGGGAGAGCTTTTGGACAATATTTGCCTGCTAAAAGAGAGGGAAAGAAGCTAAATTTCCATCGCTCAGAACCTGGGAATGAGATATCATTAAGACTGTTGTATTTTGGAGTTCTGCATAGACTGTGAATAGACCGCTCACTGACAGCCAGTGAAACAAGAGTGATACATTGTTTCAACTATCCTCTTCTGACTAAATAAAAGGAACTGAGTAATAAATAGCTGAGATTTGATACTAAATATACTGGTGCAACTGTGGTCTGGGAAAAAAGTGACATTTTGGACTAATATAATATAAACAGTAACCATTTCCCTCTAGAGGAAGACTTTGAAACTGCTACAAGGTTTGGAATTTTCCAACACCAAAGATAAGACTCTGGGACTGTGAAATTGGCCTTGAAAGGATTAAGTGTTATGGCAGATGGAAAAGAAAAAATAGATCTGCCAATCCAAGACAAAACAACAAGGTCTGGGAAGGTTTGGCGAAGAGCTTCCACATCCAGCCCTCCTGCTTCTTCTGTGACTGTATTAACTAAACCAAAGGGAATGATTCCAGAAGAGGCCCTGGCACTTGCCTTGAGTAAATAAATGAATCACTGGAACAAATGAACAAAAAATTAGATCAGAATACAGTGGTGCCTCGCAAGACGAAATTAATCCGTTCCGCGAGAGTCTTCGTCTAGTGGTTTTTTCGTCTTGCGAAGCAACCCTATTAGCGGCTTAACGGATTAGCGCTATTAGCGGTTTAGCGGCTATTAAAGGCTTAAAGGCTTAGCGGATTAGCTGCTAAAAGGCTATTAAAGGCTATTAAAGGCTTAGCAGATTAGATAAAGGGGGCGAAAAGCGAAAAAAAAATCTCTAGACTCGCAAGACATTTTCGTCTTGCGAAGCAAGCCCATAGGGAAATTCGTCCTGCGAAGCAACTCAAAAACGGAAAACCCTTTCATCTAGCGGGTTTTCCGTCTTGCGAGGCATTCGTCTTGCGGGGCACCACTGTACACAAAGTATAAATAGTCTGGGACAAAAAGTTAATTCAAATACAGAAGCCATTGAGAAATTGATCCAGGAGTCTAACTCAACTCGACAGATCGCAGAGGAAGCTAAGGAAAAGGTTGTGGCTGTGGAAGCAAAGGTAACTCAGCTGGAAACAGAGAGAGTCCCAGACCTTCAAAAACAACTTGAGGTCCATAGGTTGGCACTTTCTATGGTTGAGCTTAAGGAAAAACAGACAAACTTGAGAATTAGAGCTGTACCTGAACTGGAAAAAGATTCCCTGATAGACTATCTTACGGAGGAATTTGCATAATATTGGGACTTGGATTTGGAAAAAGAGGAATTTAGAATTGTGAGAGCCTTTAGACTGGGAAGAGGAGGGAAGAAGGAGAAGACCAGAATAAGAGATTGTTTGATTACCCTCCGGTCTAAAGAAGAGAGAGATAAAATTTTGGGCTGGCATTACGAGAAGACTTTGGTAATAAATCAATCAAGAGTGGAAATTTTTAAAGATATCCCAAAACATCATCTGGACCTTAGGTCCAACTTTGGAGATTTGGTTTCCTTGTTGAGAGGGAACAAAATCCTTTTCAGGTGGGAATTTCCTCAAGACCTAGCCTTCAGTTTCAAAGGAAGGAAAATAAAAATAAGATCAGTAGAAGATAAAATAAAGTTTCTGCATAAATACGAAGAAGACCTACAGAAGGGAATTGGAAAAGAGCCAACAGCATTGGACAGAAGATCACCAGATAGAGGATCAGAGCAAAGAGCATTGGAGAGAAGATCACCAAACAGGGAAACATTGGACATAACGAGACTATCTTTTGGATTGGACCCCCCAGCGAATGTGCCAACACCACCACCAACAGAAGAGGAGCAAGTTTTGGGGGTAGTTGGGGGGGCACCAAAGTAGCCACATGATGGCGCTGCAGGTCTTGAGCTGGAATGTGAATGGACTGAACAGCCCTGAAAAAAGGCGGAGAGTACCATATTTTTTGCTCTATAAGACTCACTTTTTCCCTCCCAAAAAGTAAGGGGAAATGTGTGTGCGTCTTATGAAGTGAATGCAGGCTGCGCAGCTATCCCAGAAGCCAGAACAGCAAGAGGAATTGCTGCTTTCACCGCGTAGCGATCCCTCTTGCTGTTCTGGCTTATGAGATTCAGAATATTTTTTTTCTTGTTTTCCTCCTCCAAAAACTAGGTGCGTCTTGTGGTCTGGTGCGTCTTATAGAGCAAAAAATACAGTATTTCATTTATTGAAAAAAGAGCATTTGGACTTGATTTGTCTACAAGAAACACATGTGACAAGGTTACACAGGAAGCTATTGAATAATAAAAGATTAGGCCAAGAATTTATCTCATCGGATAAAGTTAAAAAAAGAGGAGTGGTCCTCTATGCAAAGGAGAGGTTATCACCAAAATTTATATTCAAAGATGATCAAGGAAGATTTGTAGTAATTGAAATTCAAACGCAAGGAGAAAATTTTTTGATAATAGGTATTTATGCACCAAATGAAGGAAAATCGGAATTTTTTAAGAAGCTACATGAGACTCTGATGGACTATATGGATTATAATATGATTTTGATGGGAGACATGAATGGCGTTGTGTCTACAAATATGGACAAGGCACAAAGACAGTAACTAAGGATGGAAGACTACCAAAAACTTTTTTTGATATGACTGAAAATATGGACTTAGTTGATATCTGGAGAATGAAGAACCCTCTGGGAAGAGAGGGAACTTTCTTCTCCGAGGCTAAAATGACATGGACAAGAATTGATCAAATTTGGGTAACCAGAGGTCTGGCTCCGAAGACTAGTAAAGTTGAAATCTACCCCAAGACCTGCTCTGATCACAATGCTGTGAAGATGGAAATGAAATTGATGCCAATTGGTTCCTTTAGATGGAGGATGAATGATACTTTGTTTAGGAATGAAGAATTTATTAAGAAGGCCCAAAAAACTCTGAGAGACTATTTTGAGATAAATATGAGCATTACTGTGGAAAAAAGAGTAATCTGGGATGCAAGTAAAGCTGTCATGAGAGGATTTTTGATACAACAGAATGCAATTAAGAAGAGAATGCAAAATGAGAAAAAAGATAAAATCTTGGAAAAAATAAAGGAAGGGGAGAAGAAATTGAGGGTGAAACCAAAGTCCCAGGAGATTTGGAAAGAGATAAAGTTATATCAAGTACAATACATGAAAATGATGAATCAGGAAATAGAATGGAAGATTAAACAGATGAGACAAAAGACATTTGAGTCGGCAAATAAGTGTGGTAAATTGTTGGCTTGGCAAATGAAAAAAAGACAAAAACTTAATACCATTACGAATTTGGAAGTAGAAGGAAAGAACATACAGAATCCAGTGGAAATTAGAAAGTGCTTCCAGAGGTATTTTAAACAACTTTATACACAGGAGAAGCAGAAAGTAATGGACATTGACAAATTTTTGAAAATGAATGGACTACAAAAAATTTCTCAAGAAAATAAATTAATGCTGAACTACAAAATAACGGAACAGGAAGTAGAAGGGGCCATTCAGAATATGCAATTAGGTAAATCTCCAGGACCGGATGGACTGACTTCAAGATATTATAGATCTTTGAAAGAATGGTTAATACAACCCTTAAAGGAAGTCTGTAATGAAATACTTGAAGGGAAAAGGGCACCAGAGTCATGGAAGGAAGCTTACATCACACTTATACCAAAAACAGAGACTGAAAAGACACAACTCAAGAATTACCGCCCCATATCATTGCTCAATGTGGATTATAAAATTTTTGCAGATATTTTGGCTAAAAGATTAAAAAAGGTGTTAACGGAAGAAATTCATAAAGATCAAGCGGGCTTTCTCCCGGGCAGACACTTGTCTGACAATACGAGGAATATAATTAATATTTTAGAAAAATTACAAGTGAAGATTAATACCAAAGCAGTTTGGATATTTGTGGATGCGGAGAAAGCTTTTGACAACATTTCGTGGAGTTTTATGAAGAAGAATTTATTGGGGATGGGGGTGGGTCAAGGCTTTGGAAACGGTATAAGTGCAATTTATTCAGAACAGAAGGCCAAATTAATTGTGAACAATGTAGTGACGGAAGAATTTAAGATTGAGAAAGGAACACGACAAGGTTGCCCAATCTCTCCATTGCTTTTTATATCGGTCTTGGAGGTTTTGTTAAATATGATTAGAAGGGACCAACTGGTAAAAGGTATACAAGTGGGAGCCAAACAGTACAAATTGAAAGCATTTGCTGATGATTTAGTATTGACTTTACAGGAGCCAGAATCTAGCACTAAAAGAGTATTAGAACTAATTCAAGAATTTGGTCAGGTAGCAGGTTTAAAGTTGAATAAGATGAAAACTAAGGTTTTAGAGAAGAACCTAACAGAGATTGAGAGAGAGAAGTTTCAGAAGGAGACAGGACTGACACTGGTTAAGAAAGTGAAATATTTAGGGGTTAATATGACTGCTAAGAATGTGAATTTATTTAAGGATAACTATGAAAAATGTTGGACTGAAGTGAAAAAAGATTTAGAAATATGGTCAAATTTGAAGCTATTGTTGTTAGGCCGAATTGCTGTGATAAAAATGAATGTATTGCCAAGAATGCTGTTTTTGTTTCAAACACTGCAAATTTTGGACAAAATGGACTGTTTCAAGAAGTGGCAGAGAGATATCTCTAGATTTGTCTGGCAGGGCAAGAAGCCTCGTATAAAATTTAAGATATTAACTGATGCTAAAGAAAGAGGTGGATTTGCCCTGCCAGACTTAAAACTTTATTATGAATCAGCCGCTTTTTGTTGGCTGAGAGAATGGATGCTTCTTGAAAACACGGATGTTTTGGATTTGGAAGGTTTCAATAATGTATTTGGTTGGCATGCATACTTGTGGTATGATAAGGTTAAAGCACACAAAGCATTCAAAAACCATATTGTAAGAAAAGCATTGTTTAATGTATGGATAAGATATAAGGATTTGTTAGAAAATAAAACCCCAAGATGGTTGTCACCAATGGAAGCAAAGGCCCAGAAAAAACTCAACATGGAGGCCAAATGGCCGAAGTATTGGGAAATTTTGGAACAAGAGGGTGACTGATTAAAACTGCAGAGCTTTGAAAAATTAAAAAACAGAGTATGAGATTGGCTCCATTATTATCAAATAATGGAGGCATATAATTTGGATAAAAAATTAGGCTTCCAGGTGGAAAAATCAAAGTTGGAAACAGAATTGTTAGACCCTAAAGTTAAGAATTTGTCAAGAATGTATAACTTGCAAGATGAAATGGTGAAATCTGCTATGATTAAATGGGCACAAGATGTTGGACATAATATTATGATGGCTGACTGGGAACAGTTATGGACCACTGGTATGAAGTTTACGGCGTGTAATGCCTTAAAAGAGAATTTAATGAAAATGATTTATAGGTGGTACATAACACCAGTCAAGCTTGCAAAAATTTACCATCTGCCCAATAACAAATGTTGGAAATGTAATGAAACTGAAGGTACATTCTTTCACCTTTGGTGGACATGCCCAAAGATTAAGGCATTCTGGGAGATGATCTATAATGAAATAAAAAAGGTATTTAAATATACCTTCCTGAAGAAACCAGAGGCCTTTCTCCTGGGCATGGTCGGCCAATTGGTGTCAAAGAAGGATAGAACTTTCTTTATGTATGCTACAACAGCAGCAAGAACACTTATCGCAAAGCATTGGAAGACACAAGATCTACCCACCCAGGAAGAATGGCAGATGAAGCTGATGGACTACATGGAATTGGCGGAAATGACAGGCAGAATCCGAGACCAGGGAGAAGAGTTGGTGGAAGAAGATTGGAAAGTATATTTACAGAAATATTGCAAAATTAATGAATGTTAGAAGGATGTTGGAATGAAGTTATATGGTGTTAGCAGAAATGTTATAAAGAAAAACATTTTTTTCAACTCATCATAAATCATTTCCCAGTATTATTTTACCTTTCTACTTGCCCACCACATATGAAAAAAGTTCTTCCTATTTCTTTACATTTCCAACACATATCTGAGTCAACTTTACGCATCTTAGCCAACCTGCTCAGAGTTAAATGCCATCTATGAATCGTTTTCAAATAGTTCTCTTTCAGAGAATAACAGACGGTAAATTTCAAATCTCTTTTCCAGAGTTTCTTGCAGAGGCTTAGGTTTGTATTGTGTCCTATATCTATAGACCAGTGTGTCATTGAGCTTGTCTTTTGTTGTGTAATGGGATGTCTCTCTCTCTGCTTCCCGTGTGGCTTAAAATTATTGCTTAACTGAATTAAAACTTCAAAAGATAAGAAAACGGGGCTAAAAGAGGATTTCAGCTAAATCAGTTATAAGCGAATTAACTTAAGTAGACCTTTTAAACCCCTATTGTTGAAAATTATTAATTGTATTAATTGGAGTGAGAGTACTGAAATTGATTTATTTTATTTATTTGATTAACTGATTTGCTGGTTACCAAAAATGTGTTAATGCAAGTGTATTAATCTGTATTGATCTGTATCAATTTGCTTAATCACAAGAATTGGTTAATTGGTGGAGATATTTAAGGAAATTGAGAAAAAAGTATATGAATATTGTGTTGGGGAAAGAAGTTGAAGAGAGACATCTTGTGGTATAATAGACAATAGGTTTCTTTCATATATAAAAGGCATTAGAGGGGGATTGTATGCCCCCTAGTGGTGAAATTGAGTATTGCATTACAAAAATTATGAAAAATTTCGAAAAATTTCAGAAATTTTGTAAGATTTTGTAAGATTTTGAAAATTGATTTAAAATGGCAGGAAGGAATGGCAAAAAGATAGGAGGAACACCAGGGAGAAAGGAAAATATCCCAACAAGAAGAAATTAAAGATTTGGACATTTTGTGGTTGAAGATAAAGGAAGAATTTAAACAAAGCGAACAACATATGGAGAAGAAGTTAGGAGAAGTGTAGGAAATGCTAGATAAAAAAATAGAAGGGGCAGTAGGAGAACTCTCAAACAAAATCAAAGACTTGACAGTTAGATCAAAGACAATAGAAGAGTCAACTAAAAGAATCCAAAAGGAAGTGAAGGAGAACAAGAGAGAGACAGATAAGATTAAAGAGGAGTTAGGAGACCTGAATAAAAGTCAGGACCAAGTATGGGACAGTCTAGCCATGTTGGAGATGAGGCAGAAGCAAATGAATTTGAAATTTAGAGTAGGAGAAGAGATGAATGAGAACATCAAAGTTAAAATGATCAAAGAGGTGGCAAGATGGCTGGACATGAAAGAAGAAGTTGAATATACAGTGGAAAATGCATTTAGAATAAAAGTAAGATCTTTACAAGCTAAATCAAAGAAACTACCAGAAGATTGTCTAGTGATATTTAACTTGTTAGATATGAGGAATGTGATACTGAAAATGAGTTACCAAAAAAAGTTGATAATTGATGGCAGGCCGATCATTATCTTCAAAGAAATTCCTACCAGATTTTTACGTAAGAGAGATGGCTATAAACAACTAGTGAGTGTTTTGAAAAGAAACGGTATACAACACAGGTGGGAGTTCCCGGAAGGGATCTCCTTTTATTACAAAAATAAAAGATTCAGGTTGGCGGACATTCAAGAGGTGAGGAAATTTTCAATGAGATACGAAAAGGAGCTTGGAAAGGTAGAGGATTATTTGGAGAAAGGGATTCAGATTTAGAGGAGAGAAGAAGGAAAAGGGAGAGAGAGGAAGAGAAAGAAAGAAGAGGAAAAGAAGAGGAGGAGGAAACAGAAGAAAGAGAAGTGGGAGAAGAAGAAGAGGAGGAGGAGGACATAGGCGACAAAACCACTCAAATTTAATTTTAATTTGTTTCTACGGTTAATTCGATTAAATAATAATGACGTTGAAATTAATAACCTGGAATGTGAATGGTCTAAACGAGAAATCTAAGAGGAATAAAATTGAAAATGTATTGAAGAAAAAAAATCTCGACATAATTTGTTTACAAGAAACTCATATTGCCAAAAAGCACAAATATATTTTGAAAAATAAAAGGTTAGGGGTGGAATTTATTAATTCTGATGTGAGTAAAAAAAGAGGGGTAGTACTCTATGTCAGAGAAAAATGGGAACCTAAATTAATTTGTAAGGATGAGGAAGGGAGAATATTGGGGGTACAAATCAATCACCAGGGTGAAAAACTTAATGTGGTTGCCATTTACGCACCAAATACAAATAAGGCAGAGTTTTATAGGAAATTGGAAGAGAGATTGATTGAAATAGAGGATCAAAAAATAATTTTATTAGGAGATTTCAATGGAGTGGTACAGTCAGAATTGGACAGGCTAACAAAGAAGAAGAAAGGTAATCAAGGGAAATTACCAAGGTCCTTGTTCAATTTGGTGGAAAATCTGGACTTAATAGATGTTTGGAGAGATAAACATCCAAGTACAAAGCAATTTACATTCTTTTCGGAACCTCACCAGAGTTGGGCGAGGATAGATCAGGTCTGGACCTCAAGGTACCTAACTCCAAGAATTTTGAAATGTGAAATACAGCCAAGAACTCTATCAGACCATAACCCCATAGTCTTAGAAATAAAAGGTAAAGTGCAAAGTATATATAGATGGAGGATGAATGAAAATCTTTTTGAGAACTCCGAAATAATTGAAAAAGCTAAAGACACCCTGAAAGAATATCTTAAATGGAATTTAAATAATGATATTAATATTGACATAGTCTGGGACGCAAGCAAAGCCGTCATGAGGGGTCACCTAATACAGCAAAACAGCTATAGAAGAAAATTAAGAGAAAAGAAGAAAGAAGATATTCTAACACAATTAAGAGAATGTGAGAAGAATTTAACGATAAAACCCAAAGGCGAGCAGAATAAACGAGTAATTAAAATGTTACAAACCCAATATTCAATGCTGGTAAATCAGGAGGTAGAATGGAAAATAAAATCAATGAAGCAGAAATTTTTTGAATCAGCCAACAGAACAGGAAAATTTTTGGCATGGCAGTTACGGAAAAGACAAAAACAAAGTGTAATAAATAAGATAAAAGTTGAAGGACGTCAAATAGAAGATTCGAATGAAATAAAGAGATCATTCCATAAATATAATGAAAATCTATATAAAATAGAAAATGAAGAAACAAACAAAATAGGAAAATATTTAGAAGATTACAAAGGAAAATACATAACAGAAGAAGAAATGGCACAATTGAATAAACCAATTACGAAAAAGAAATACAAGAAGCGATAAAAAAGATGAAATTAGGTAAAGCCCCAGGCCCAGACGGATTACCGGCCAAATATTATAAAACCTTGGTGGACCAACTGACTCCGGTGTTATGTGATGTGATGAACAACATTTTGCAAGGAGGGAATATACCAGGTACCTGGAAGGAAGCGCATATAACCCTGATTCCTAAACCAGACACTGATAGACTGAATATAAAAAACTACAGACCTATTTCATTGTTAAACAATGATTATAAATTTTTTGCAGAAATACTGGCAAACAGACTTAAAAATTGTTTAAAGGATTTTATACATAAAGACCAAGCTGGATTTCTCCCAAATAGACAACTTAAGGACAATGTCAGGCATATCATAAATATTATAGAATATTTGGAAGTCAAAAATGAAATACCGGCGGCCCTAATATTTATAGATGCCGGAAAAGCGTTTGATAATGTATCATGGCAGTTTCTGTTAAAGAGCATGGAGACAATGGGGATAGAGGGTGTTGGGTGTAGTGAAGGGTTAACCTTCTGTGTCTCGAGGCTGAGAGGAGGCGCTTACAAGGGAAGTAAGCCAGGATGTGACGAAAGCAGCTTGGAATGCTGTGAGCTGAGTGAAAAGTGAAAGCAGTTTTGTTGCGCAGCTGCTGCTGAGAGAGAAGGATGCAAACAGGGAGCAAAATGCAGCTTCAATCAGATGGTGTCTAAGAACTGTAAATATGCTATTTCTGAGCAAATAAAGTGCTATTAGGAAAGAAGAAACGTGTGGGACCTATTTACTGACTGCCCTTTCTACACGGACGCTGTGCAATTCTGCTAATTGCTTTACGACCTGCAGAGGAGTGCAGGGAAGCGTGCCGGACGCAAGAATAAAGCAATAAATCTTACCTTTACATTCCTGGGTCACCAGGGCAACAGAGGGCACTTTCATGAAAGGCATAAAAGCGATTTACTCTAATCAAACAGCTAAATTGATTGTTAACAATAATTTGACAGATTCATTTAATATTATTAAGGGAACAAGACAAGGCTGCCCTCTATCCCCTTTACTGTTCATAATGGTGTTAGAGGTAATAGCAAACAGGATGAGAACTACGCCAGAGATATGGGGGGTTAAAATTGGTACCAAGGAGTACAAGTTGAAGGCATATGCGGACTACTTAGAAGAACCACAAACAAGCGTCGGTAAGGTTTTGGAACAATTAGAGGAATTCGGCAAATTATCAGGTTTCAAATTAAACAAAATAAAGACTAAAATGCTGGTTTAAATATGGGTAGGAATATAAGAGAGCAATTAGAACAAAAATATGGCATTAAAGTCGTTAAAAAAAGTAAAATATCTAGGTATCTGGTTGACATCGAAAAATATCAATTTAATCAGTGATAATTATATACCTACATGGAAAGAGATTAAAAAGGATTTGGATATATGGAATAGGTTAAAGCTTTCATGGTCCGGAAGAATGGCGGCAATAAAGATGAATATTCTCCTGAAAATGTTGTTCCTATTTCAGACTATTCCGATAATCAGGGGGCCTTCGATATTTAAGGAATGGCAAAAAATTCTTTCATAATTCATATGGCAGGGAAAGAGGCCGAGAATTAAATACCAACTACTTACAGACTGGAGAGAAAGAGGCGGGTTTTCCGTGCCAAATCTAAGATTATATTATGAAGCTTCCTGTTTATGTTGGCTTAAAGAGTGGATTGTTTTAGAAAATTCAGACTTGTTGGACTTAGAAGGCTTTAATAATAGATATGGCTGGCATGCTTACTTGTGGCTCAACAAAGAAAAGGTTCACAAAGGTTTTTCAAATCATATTTTTAGAGGAGCCCTGTACGAAGTTTGGGAGAAAAACAAAAAACTTCTAGAAAGAAACACCCCCTGGTGGTTATCTCCGGTAGATATTTTAACAATAAAAAAATTGAACATGGAGGGGAAAAGGTTAACATATGAAGATTTATTGGTAAAAACAGAAAGAGGTTGGAAGATTAGAATTTATGAGGAATTGAAAGATAGATTGACAGGCTGGCTACAATACCACCAGATAAATGCACTTTGGAATGAAGATAAAAAATTGGGGATGAATGAAAAAAAAATCTAAATATCAGATAGAAATTCTAGAAGGAAAAACCAAACTTTTATCTAAGATGTATAATTTTTTGTTAGAATGGGATACAAAAGATGAGTTGATAAATGAAGTGATGGTAAAATGGGCAATTGATTTTGGATATAACAGAGTACGACAAGTGGGTGAGGCTATGGAATAAAGGAATGAAGTTCACGGCATGCGTCACATTAAGGGAAAACCTGGAGAAAAAGATGTACCAATGGTACATCACACTGGTAAAATTAGGAAAAATGTATAAAATTGGAAACATGCTGGAAATGTAAGCAGAAGGATTGGGACCTTTACCATATGTGGTGGGTTTGTGAGGAAATGAAAAAATTTTGGGAGCTTATATATAATGAATTAAAGAAAATTTTCAGATATACTTTTTCCAAAAAACCGGAGGCATTTTTGTTAGGAATAATAGGTGACGAAATTAAAAAGGAAGATCAGAGATTGTTTCAATATGCGACGGTGGCGGCCAGGGTATTGATAGCTCAAAAATGGAAATCAGCAGAGATCCCTACGGTTATGGATTGGCAAGTAAAATTATTTGAATACGCAGAATTAGCAAGAATGACACATAAAATTAGACACCAAGAAGGTACAAAGTTTATTGAAGAATGGAGTAAATTTGTGACATATATTGAAAGTAATTGTAGAAATTTAAAAACTACAGTAGGCTTAACATAAACCTTGTGACGTGTACATAATTGGAACAGAAACTGTAAGAGTAGAAGTATACCAAGAAAACCACAACGGGATAGGAAGGAAGTCGAGGCGTGATCCAACGCAATGTTAATAAGATGATGGTACCAAAGAATGATCGTTAAGAGTGTTTGTTTTAGTTTTTGATTGATTTTTCTGGTCTGTTTTCTGTTTAACTGAAAATCTCAATAAAAATAATTTAAAAAAAGAAAAAAGGAAAGACAAACCTGGAAAGGGCCATACCAAATGGACATCCGGTGTGAAGAGGTCACTTTCCCCACTGCTGAACAATGCCACAGGTAGAGGAGATGGAATGCTAAAAGTGTTCTCCAGGGCAAGGAGAGCTGCTGAGAAATTGAACTATGGACTCAAAATATTACTTTTTTAAAAAGTTGCTGCCATTGTAGGCATTGCCATTCAAATGGAGTGCATGCATCCTGTGACTGATAGTGCAAGGCAGGCCTTACCTGGCCCCTCACCAATATTTTATTCAAGTCGGCACCACTGGGTCGGGTGGTTTACAGATTAAATAAATACATAAATCGCCTCCCTTTGCACATGTTCCAGCTTGTCAATATCCTCATTTATGTTTTTTAAAATTTATTTGCCCTTCATCTGAAGATTTTACAATATAAACATACAGGATGAAAGCATGGCTTTCTCAAAAACAAGCCAAGCCAGAGAAATCTCTCCTTTTCTTTTCTTTTCTTTTTTTGGATGGAGTTACAAACTGTGTTGATCAGGGGACTGTTGTGGAAATTGTGCATCTCGATTTCAGTAAGGCTTTTGACAAAGTCCTCTGTGATATTTATGTGAGGAAGCTGGTAAAATGAGGCTGAATGAGGTAACTGTTAGGTGGATTTGACTGACCGAACCCCAAGAGGACTCCTTCATGGTTCCTCCTCATCCTGGGGAAAAGTGACCAGAGGGGTGTTGCAGGGTTCTGTCCTGGGCCCGTTGTTGTTCAACGTCTTTATAAATGACATGGATGAAGGAACTGAAGGGATGCTCCTCACATTTGCACACGACACCAAACGGATCATAATGGCATCCTCTCTCTTCAGCAACAGACAGGGAGACAAAGAACAGTGCAAAAGCACAGCAGAGCGGAAGAGATAAGACTGACTTCCGTTCTTACACTTTCCAAGCCTAGGAAAGTAAACAGGGGCATGTGACATACTAGCCACATATCCAGCAACAGGAGGAGTGAATTGCTAACACAGCAGACATGATTGCAGGTGATATAAGGGAAAAAAACCTGCTCCTTTTTCCTTATGGGGTACCCAAGGGCCCATATAGAGTCTTTTTGTAGGTTCTCTATCGGTAGGAGAAAATAACAGAGACCAACCAAAGAATATTGAGAAGCAAAGCAGCTAGTAAGCCTGTTCTTTATTAACTGTTGCAACAGGGTTCTTCCCCACACACAGGAGAGAGGAGGAGGACCCCGAGCCATGCATGCAAGCCCTTATACAGACATTTTTAATTGCCCACCCCCCAGAAACATCATACATATATCACAGAAGGGGTGTAGCCCAAGTCCACCCCCCAGATACATCATACCTACATCACAGAAAAGGCGGTCTACAACAGAAATCTGAGTGTGTTGTTTTTACCCTGTCTGCCAGGTTACCTGTTAATGGTCACTTAACTGGATTACCTGGGGGCATTGTTTTGTAATGATAATACTTCATTCCTGAGCCAGGTGACAGGCTCACCCTATTCACACCCTAAATGGGCCCTTAAGGCAGGATTTGTGAGGACAGAGACAAGGGGGAGGTTTCTTCATTTCCTTCGACCTTGTAGAGAAATATTTGAGGTGACTGAAAGAGTGAAAGAGTCAAAATGGCTTTAGGACTTTTCCTGTGGGTTTTGGACATGTGGTTTATATATATATGTGTGTGTTTTCTTGGTACATTTAAGAACGTGTGTGTGTGTGTGAGAGAGAGAGAGAGAGAGAGAGACCTAAAAATTATTATAACAATTCCCCCCTTTGGGGCTATAATTTTTTCTAAAAAATTGTTGCCCCACAAATAATAACATGGTATGTTGTAAATGGATGCCTTCGTTTAAATGTGGTGTCTTTTTTAAAGTCTGGTGTCTTTTGTTGTTGTTGCTGCAGGTAATAAATAGTCTTGTGGTCACGAGGAATTCAGGTGAGGGTTTTCCATCATTGGGTCTACGTTAACATCTTTAGAGGAGATATCCTGTAAGCGGGGGGTGGGCAGGTCTTTTGGGTCTTAAAGGCACAGTTATAAAGGTAAGAGGTAAAAGTCAAAAAGGGGAGAATCTCCTTGAGTTTCTGAGCTGCAAAAAATAAAAATCTAAGCGAGTTAAGAATTTTCTTCATTTCAATACTATTATCATCACATTTCCATATAATTACTAATGTTATTATAAGCTAAAAATTAAAAAGGAAAAATATAAAAAGAAAGTAAAAAAGGTAAGAAAGATAGATTACCAGTTAAAAAATTTTTCCAGATAAAAAATAAATGGACTTTTCTCAAAGACAGTGATTTTTTTTAAAAAAAAAAATAATAATTAAATAATACCAAGATATTATCAAAACCACACAGATTATTACTGGACTGGAACCTTAAGGACTAGGAGGTGAAGGAGGTGGTGGTGAAATGGGCACACGATTGTGGCTATCCAAACAAGATGAAAAATGGGGGAAATTATGGGGAAAGACTTAAAATTCACCTCGTGCTATATGATTTTTAGATGCTACCTGACCCCATCCAAATCAGTCAAAATAAATAAATATTAGCAATAAGCGTTGGAGATGCAGACAAAATGAGGGAACATTATTCCACATGTGGTGGACATGTCCCCAAAAGGAAAATAATAAAATAAAATAAATGCTATTTATTTTAAAGAAAACCAAAGCTTTCTTATTTGACATTCTAACGATAAGCATCCCAAATGAAAATAAAAGTGTTTCTTTACACGACAGCAGTGGCTAGGATGTTAATAGCAACATACTGGAAAATGAGTTAATATCAACAAAAGATGAGTGGCAATTAAAGTTGTGCTTGTACCTTGAACTAGCTAGAACGACAGAACTTCCAAGAAACTGAGATCTACTCCTAGTAATAAAAAACCTGCCAGTGATCTACCCATTGTCTTTGTCCAGAGTTCTTGAGCTTTTCTCAGGGAGCAGTGACCAGAGTTGGGGATTGACCGGTAGATCGCGATTGACCTGTTGCATGTGCCTCCATTCTAGGAACAGCATTCCTGACCCAGATTTTCACAGGAAGTCCCTGTAGCCACCCCCAACGACACGTTCTCAAGATGGAGGGTGAGGGAACAGCTGCAGTCGCCTGCGGTTCCTGCGCAATGTTTGCCATCTTGCCAAAGGTTGCAGGCAGCTTTACCTGCAGCAATTGCATGTTGATTGCCCTCTTAGAAGACAAAGTCCAGCAACTGGAGGAACGTGTAGCTACGCTCCAAAGAATTAGAGAGCTGGAGCTCTTCTTGGAAGCAACAGAGAACACCGTCTCCACCAAGGAGGAGACAGGGGACACCCCTGAGAAGGAGGCTAGTTCACCAACACAGGTGCCAGATATATGGAGAAACGTGACTCAAAGAAGTAGGAGGCCCAGGGTTCGCTCTGATTGTTTAGAAATACACAATCACTTTGAAGTCCTCTCCCCTAGCATGGAAGACGAAGAACAGACTCCATTTGAGGATCTCTCCCTCATTACAGTCGGATCAGGTATATGAAGACGAGCAGCAAAGTCAGTCCTCAGGGAATGTGCAGGCGACCTTGGAACGGACAGCTCATGGAAGAACCCCGAACAAACCTAAGAGGAGGCGTGTAGTGGTGATAGGGGATTCCCTACTGAGGGGAACAGAAGCAGTGATCTGTGGGCCTGACAAGATGTCTCGGAAGGTGTGCTGTCTCCCCGGGGCTAAGATCCAAGATGTAAATGAACGACTGCAAGGAATCATAAAACCCACTGACAAATACCCCTTCCTCTTGGTTCATGTGGGAACCAATGACACTGCAAGCAATAGCCTCCAGAAGATCAAAAGAGACTACGAGGCTCTGGGCAGGAAATTGAAGCAATTAAATGCACAAATTGTCATCTCATCTGTCCTCCCAGTTGAACGACGTGGCCCAGGGAGAGAGGGAAAAATAGTGGAAGTGAACAGCTGGCTTCGCAAATGGTGTAAACAGGAACGGTTTGGATTCTTAGATCACGGACTGCAGTTTCTTGAAGATGGACTTCTGGCAAGCGATGGGCTGCACCTCACAACGGTTGGGAGAAATGTTTTTGCCAAAAATCTCAGAAACCTCATCAGGAGGGCTTTAAACTGACTAATGTGGGGGAGGGAGACAGTGCTCCTGAAGGTAGGAGTCTATCAACTGATGAAGATGATCATCCAAATGTCATAGACCAAATGGAGCAAACAGCACGCAGACCTGTGGTGGGAGGAAAAAAATCCTTAAATAAGAGACACGGGGGAATGATTAATGGACTTCAATGTCTGTACACTAATGCGCAAAGCATGGGAAATAAACAAGATGAGCTTGAGCTCTTGGTACAGCAAACTAAATATGACATAATAGGCATCACTGAAACCTGGTGGGATAAGTCCCACGATTGGAATGTAATAATGGAGGGATACAATCTATTTCAGAGAAACAGACCAGACAAGAAAGGAGGAGGAGTGGCGTTATATGTCAGGGATGTGTATACCTGTGAAGAGATCCAAGATTTAGAACCTCAAAGCCAAAGTGAGAGCATTTGGGTCAAAATTAAGGGAGAGAAGAATAACAGAGAGCTCATTGTGGAAGTTTACTATAGATCCCCAAGCCAAACGGAGGACATAGATGATGCCTTCCTGGAACAGATGGCCAAGCATGCAAAAGGAAGGGAGATAGTAGTAATGGGGGACTTCAATTACCCGGATATTTGTTGGATGTCAAACTCAGCCAAGAGCATAAGGTCAAACAGATTCCTCACTGGCCTTGCAGACAACTTCATTGTCCAGAAAGTGGGAGAAGCAACAAGAGGAACAGCCATTTTAGATCTGGTCCTAACCAATGTTGATGACCTGGTTAGTGGGGTAGAAGTGGAAGGATCATTAGGCGCGAGTGATCATGCTCTTCTGAAGTTTACTATACAGCGGAAAGGAGCAGCCAAGCATACTAGGGCTCAATTTCTTGACTTTAAGAAAGCCGACTTCATAAAACTTAGGGAAGTGCTGGGTGAGATCCCATGGACAGTAATACTAAAAGGAAAGGGAGTTCATGATGGCTGGGAGTTTGTTAAGAGGAGATAGGGAAAGCACAACTTCAGGCAATACCAATGAGACGGAAACATGGAAGGTGCCTAAAGAAGCCAGGGTGGCTATCTAAAGAACTTTTAACTGAGTTAAGATTAAGAAAGGATGTGTACAAAAAATGGAAAAGGGGGGAAATCACCAAAGAGGAATTCAAACAAATAGCCAGCACATGTAAACACAAAGTCAGAAAAGCTAAAGCACAGAATGAACTCAGGCTTGCTAGAGAGGTTAAAAGCAACAAAAACGGTTTTTATGGGTATGTTCGTAGCAAAAGGAGGAACAAAGAAACAGTGGGGTCACTCAGAGGAGAAGATGGTGAAATGCAAACAGGGGACACAGAAAGGGCTGAACTCCTCAATGCCTTCTTTGCCTCAGTCTTCTCCGATAAAGAAAACAATGCCCGACGTGAAGAATTTGGAGCAAATGATTCAGCAGAGGAAACACAGCCCAGAATAACTAAGGAGATAGTACAAGAATACTTGGCTAGTTTAGATGTATCCAAGTCTCCAGGGCCAGATGAACTGCATCCAAGAGTATTAAAAGAACTGGTAGATGTGATCTCAGAACCACTGGCAGTCATCTCTGATAATTCCTGGAGAACAGGCGAAGTCCCGGCAGACTGGAGGAGGGCAAATGTTGTCCCTATTTTCAAAAAGGGGGAAAGAGAGGACCCAAATAATTATCGCCCAGTCAGTCTGACATCAATACCAGGGAAGATTCTGGAGCAGATCATTAAGCAAACAGTCTGTGAGCACCTATGCTGTGATCACCAATAGTCAGCATGGATTTCTGAAAAATAAGTCATGTCAGACTAACCTGATCTCGTTTTTTGACAGAATTACAAGCCTGGTAGATGAAGGGAACGCAGTGGATGTAGCCTACCTTGATTTCAGCAAGGCATTTGACAAGGTGCCCCATGATATTCTTGTAAAGAAGCTGGTAAAATGCGGTCTTGACTATGCTACCACTCAGCGGATTTGTAACTGGATGACTGACCGAACCCAAAGGGTGCTCATCAATGGTTCCTCTTCATCCTGGAGAAGAGTGACTAGTGGGGTGCCACAGGGTTCTGTCTTGGGCCCGGTCTAATTCAACATCTTTATCAACGACTTGGATGATGGACTCAAGGGCATCCTGATCAAATTTGCAGATGACACCAAACTGGGAGGGGTGGCTAACACTCCAGAGGACAGGATCACACTTCAAAACGACCTTGACAGATTAGAGAACTGGGCCAAAACAAACAAGATGAACTTTAACAGGGAGAAATGTAAAGTATTGCACTTGGGCAAAAAAAAATGAGAGGCACAAATACAAGATGGGTGACACCTGGCTTGAGAGCAGTACATGTGAAAAGGATCTAGGAGTCTTGGTTGACCACAAACTTGACATGAGCCAACAGTGTGACGCGGCAGCTAAAAAAGCCAATGCAATTCTGGGCTGCATCAATAGGAGTATAGCATCTAGATCAAGGGAAGTAATAGTGCCACTGTATTCTGCTCTGGTCAGACCTCACCTGGAGTACTGTGTCCAGTTCTGGGCACCACAGTTCAAGAAGGACACTGACAAACTGGAACGTGTCCAGAGGAGGGCAACCAAAATGGTCAAAGGCCTGGAAACGATGCCTTATGAGGAACGGCTAAGGGAGCTGGGCATGTTTAGCCTGGAGAAGAGGAGGTTAAGGGGTGATATGATAGCCATGTTCAAATATATAAAAGGATGTCACATAGAGGAGGGAGAAAGGTTGTTTTCTGCTGCTCCAAAGAAGCGGACATGGAGCAATGGATCCAAACTACAAGAAAGAAGATTCCACCTAAACATTAGGAAGAACTTCCTGACAGTAAGAGCTGTTCGACAGTGGAATTTGCTGCCAAGGAGTGTGGTGGAGTCTCC